TCACACAATAGGAAGGTATAGCAGAAGTGTATCTTGAGTTGGTGCCTTTGATGTTTTTGTCCACTGAAATTTTAACTTGCTCACACCAATCCACGCCATCCTGGCTAAAACAGCCGGTAAAGTACAAAGTACCAGTTGTACTTGCCAGGATGGCAAATGATGGCGTAATATTGGTGTCAGCTGTGTTGTCAGGCTTATCGCTCATGTGCATTGAAAAACACGGACAGATTTTTGCTTGAGTTACACTTCTGCTATTAATACCTTCCTGTATTATGTGATGATATTGTTGTTGACAATAGCAGGGTTGGTAAGTTAGATGAATAATTAGGCCAAATCATCACTGGTGCACTATTAGAACACAAAGGCCTAGTGTGACGGTGTTTGGCCTAGTTATTCAGCAAACCTACCAACCCTGGACAATAGATGCTCATGTGACATAATTGGATGTTTATGGCCTTGATGGGTTGAACTTCCTTCAGGCATTTTCAGTTGGCTTCTAGCCTCTTTTGGTATGCTTTGCAGTTTGAATTCCAATTTGAATACTGATGGTACAGCATTTTTTTTGCCTGCACGACCCTGTTGAGGATGGTGTAGTCAGGGGTGGATGTATAGGGGGGTGCACAAGGGTGTGACCCCTGTTGACCAAGGTCAACAGGGGTGCAAAAAAATCAAATTTGTACCCATTGTCATGAATATGTACCCATTGTCATAGTAGTGTTTACTATTGAAATGTAAATAAATTGAATATTAATAAATATTTTAAAGTTTCAATTGTTTTGTAATTTCTTACCTGTGGAATGCAGTATATGTTTTGCTTTCATTTTCCTGATGCAAGTTTTGTTTTCATAAACGACACAAGTAACTGGCATTTATTATTCCAGTCAATAACAAACTAATTTTGCAGTTTAAACTTTTTTTCCAACTTTGTTTATTACAAAAATGTTAAAAAATAACAAATTACTTGCGCTCTGCCAGCCAGATATGGACTGGGGCGATATGAAAAACACTCATTTTCCCCCGAAGATTTTTTACATGTTTAATCTGATTTTAACTTTAAAACAATAAGTTTCTGGATGCTCGGAAATGAATTTCTAACAGTATCTAAGCTTTTCTCAAATAACTGACGCCAAAATGTCTCCGAACCCTTTCTGGAAAGTCTACTAACACAGAAAAACTAAAAATTTTCGCGCGGTTTTCTCGTGTTGTTCGTCTTGTACGTGTGATATTTCTGTTGTTTGGTAAGCATTTTTTATTTTAAGCACATTTATTTAAAGTTCTTTTGTCTTAGTTTAATATAAGGAGGAGTTGGCAAGTGCTTAACAAAAAGAAAAGGGCAAAATTTATCGATTTTCAAAAATATTTTTTGACGCCATTTTGTAAAAAAGGACTGGGGCAACCTGCAAACTCATCACTCATGAGTGGCTTCAAAGATGGCGGCGGAGTTATCGTTCCAGGTTATTAGCACTGAGCTATAATTATTAGTGAGCTTAAGCAAGTGACGTTTTTGACAACACGGACGGCATGAGTAACGTCAGAAGACTGGGTCAAGGGCTGTGATTGGTGGAAAACGTCAACTTTACTTCCGGTCGACGTCCGTGTTGTCAAAAACGTCACTTGCTTAAGCTCACTATTTACAGTTCACTGGGCGAAACTAGCCTCCTCCGCAGGCATCGCCTTTCGATTATCGGGCAAAATTTCTTGCAGGCAAAAAAATTAATAGTGGCGATGCCTGCCAAAACCTGAAGAGTTTGGACCAGCTATGTAACCCTTGTGGACCGGCTATGTTACCCCCACCCCCACCCCCACGGGATTAATTTGTTCATATCAAAACTACTACAAAATGTCAAAAGATCTGTTACCCTAACTCCCATGGAATAATATTGTTACTTTTGAAAACAATGAGCTCCATGATATTTAAATATGGCAGAAAAGCCAGAGGAGCGTCATTCAAGAATACCGAGGTATGTTAGAACGACAACGCCAATTGTAAGCGCGGATTTATAGAAACGTTTTGAAAGAAATCAAAACAAAGCGTGCTGAGATAGAGGTCAAGGAGCGAAAAGTCGATTATCTAAAGAAATCATTGCCAGCTTCGGAGATAGAACATTATGCTTCGGCGTCAACAACGTGTTTAACCCGAACAACAATTCAAGCAGAACAAACAGATAAAAGTGCTTCCACAACCGGTCTCGTTGGAAGTCAGATAAGGAGTACAATTTTTTCTCCTGGAGGTACCAAGCGAAAAGGTATTTGCAAACCATAAAACTGTTGCTATATATGCAGTTGTGTTTATTTATATGTTTTACCTTGTATTAAAATTTGTTAAAAATTAGTGTCGTGTGTGACATATGAAAATGTTTAATGTTATACTGTGTCTGTTAGTCACGAAAAACATTCAAATTCTTTAGTGAGACAAGCTTATATGAAGTATCAATCGACGCTCAGAGACAGTTTGAACAAGGTTATAGCAAAGGAAACGGGTCAGGATGTTTTGGTGGATGATCTTCTGAATAATTTGCGACTTCATTATCACCCTGCCTCAACAACAAACCGTTCAGGACTGCTGAAACAAATAAGCAAGATACTGGACACTACACTTGAATTCAGGGGGAAAGGAAGGAAAATGTAAGATACAGATACAGTACAGAGATACAGTACTTATATGCAAATTTGAAACTCCCAACCCTGCATTGGGAACAGGGCTGTAACTATATGTGTAATTGGGGGGGGGGCGTCATATTCATATATGCGTGTTCTGCCCTACTGATTCCTTTTGAAAGTGATTGTTTTTACAGTATGTGAACATGAATATGCACCCATACACACAAAAACACACACACAATTACCGTGTCTAGTTATGGCCCTGATGGGGAAGGGGGGCTTGGATGTTTCAAAGGACTGGTGCATTATCATATTCTTGTTTTACTTAAATAGTTTTTTTTATTTTATATTGTGGAAAAATTTACTTTGGTCTTAATTAACAGGGCATTTTATAAAGGTTACAAGCTTCTTGCAACTCTGCCAATTGGACCACAAAGCCCAACTGTGAGTTCTCCACCACGCCAGATACCAAGAGCAGGTCAGTTTTGACAATTTTTAACAGTTGCCTTCTTCCTGGCAACTGACTTTTATGTTGGTTGGTTTGAAATGACATATTATACATTGTAAAGAACAGAAAAAAATGGACCGGATTAACATTATACAGTATTTTTGTCTCTTCACTTTTTGCATCTAGCTAGAATCTAGCATTATGGGATTGTAAAAATGCCTTGTATTTTTAGGCCCTTCTGTAAGACCAGAGAATGTGAGAACAAGACTGTTCACAACTGTGACAACAGATGGTAAGTAGTCAAACATTGTTGTTCACTTTAACCCGTTGAGCTGACTCGCTCTCCCCTTGACATTAGAATAATGAAATAGGGTGCAATGCAACTTAATAGTTTATACACTTTGGAATATAGTCTAGTTGAGCACCAGTCGTCTTTCCTTGATGAGTCATCTGGTATGACTCAGACATAGTTCAATATGGTAATAAAATAGGATGCATTATTATGGCATAATGTAACTTATTGGTTGATGGAAATATTTACACTTAGTTTGGTAATTTTAAAATATATTTGGTGCTGGTATTCTCATTCTATAGAACCTGAATCATCTTATTATGATCCATCTGATTTGCAAACTGATTTAGATGCATTGGGTATTCAAGAAGAAACAGGTAAAATATTTGTGTTGTTATTACTGTATATCCAAACATATCTTATTAGTCAGGCATGTACATTGCACTTACAAACAAGTACATGTCACCATGTCATACTCACATTTGATCGCCCTAGTCCAGGGTTCTCAGCTTGTTGTTGAGTTCCATTATCACAAGTCTCAGAGCATTAGGCTTAATGCATCCAATATACAACCTGTATGAGATTTTATTGCTTTTTGGATGCTCAATGTTTATGTACAGGTGTATGTACCACAGAATACCATGGTACCACAGAATACCGGTCTTACTTATTTCTTATATAAAATTTGAATGAAATATGCTATAAACTTTATTTTTGTGATTATATATTAGTTATAGTCTTAATTGACATATAAAAACAAAAAATGTATATTTTCTTAAAAATAATCAGGATTTACAAGAAGTAACAGACTGCGATAAAAATAGGAACAAGCTTGACATTTCAAGCAGAGGGCTGTGTCTGGAAGTTAATAGTAAGGAGAGCCTTATAGTGTATGATATCCTACATCCAAACCTTGCAAATCCTGCATGACTAATGAACATATTAAGAATATACTGGTACTTTGTCTAACTAGTATCTACTGTAAATTTTTTTCATATATAGAATTACCACAGACAGTGTTAAAAAAACAGTTTCTGGAGCTTCAAGATGCCTTAACAAAGACAAAACATTTTGTAGCGACATTAAATGAGAAAATGAAGCAATTAACTGATGACAACTCAGAACTGCAATTACATCTAAATGCCTTGGAAACCATGTTTGCCACATACAAAGCAAAGGCCACATCAATTGTTGAGGAGCAAAACGGCATTATCAATTTGTATAAAGATTTATTAGATCAGGGAAATCTTATTGGTGGAATTTTATCCATATCAGAGAGACAGGCTATTCAGAAAGAGATTCGAAGAGTAAAGCAAATATTTGATTTAGGAATAAGGGGTAAGGAGAATAAAAAAGCAAAAGATCTAATGCAATTCCTTGATCCTTCCCTTTTTCAAAATTTGCTTGTTCAAGTGAAATCCCATTGCCCTACACTTGTCAACATATTAGAGCAGCTTGTTATTTCAAGCAATGCTGTCCGTTCCACAAAGAAAACTCCAGATATGAAGATGAAAGCTGCCGTTCATTTATTGGCATCTATTCTTGATGTACGTGATCAGAATGCTAGAAATGACATTCCTGTTTTGTTTGGATTGTTGTGTTTGAGTTTTGGTGCTGGACCATCTCTAATCACTGTGTTACAGCATTTGGGCTTATCTGAATCACATTCAGTTTTGTAAGTATAATAGTTACTGTATTCTACATTCCTAAAATGTGACCATTCTGAGGAAATTAAATTACGTCTGCCACCTGTGCAAGGAGCCTGTTCTTCTGTGCACTATGAAATTGAATCCTTTATGATACACATGTATTTGGGTCAACACATGCCCATAGTCTAAGAGACCAGTTGATTGGATTGATGTTTCAAACAAATGGCAAACGCCCTTCATCTGGAAGTTATTAGCAATTAAGGAATCTCCAGTTCATAAGTAAAATTTTAGTTGCATTTCACTAATATTTTACTCTAATATTGTATTTTCTTTAATTTTCCGAGCCCCACTTTAAAATGTCGAATAAAAGTCACCAATTGGTTTTCGACTCTTGATACTGCCATATTACATTACATGTTAGCTTTAATTGTACACTGAGCACAAAATACGATATGTTCAGCTGCATATACTATTGGAGGTAGCCTCCTCCGCAAGCAACTCTTGAAACACACGAGGGGATAAAGAGGGAAAATTGGGGGAAAAGTGAGGCGAGGATGCCTGCGGAGGAGGCTATATTGGAGGAATGTATAAAATGAAAGGAGACATTTGTGAAGCAGGCTAATTTAGTGTGGCGAACTATAATGATTTCAGGGCCTCTTTTAAGTATGTGTAACTGGAGGGGACATATTTAGCGGGGGACCTCGAGAATTTCCAGTCGGCAAGTATGTATCACTGCAGCCACAGTACCTGGCCAGCATATGTATGCATGGTTTAACTAATAAGTATACGTCATAGGGCAGCAGATCAGGCCCGTAACTAGGATTCTGAGACAACCGAGTCGACCACCGAAGGTGAGAACCTTTAGAGGGGTCTGGGTGCACCCCCTCCAGAAAATTTTGGATTTTTTGAAGATCAGATAAGCTATTTCCAGCATTTTGAGGAGTTTTTCAACAAGGAATTAACCTTATAAACAGTGACACAATTACTGCAATTTCACAGTCTCCCAAATGTAACCCAGTCCCAATAAGGCAGGGTGCGGTAATGAAAATGTGCGTGGTATATTATTATCATTCACCACACTTCAAATTTTACACTACTGTATTACATGTATTGGGGTACTTGAAATCGACGTATTCGCGTCTTCTCAGTATCACTTAAGAGCAAGATAGGGTGTTCTCTTTGTAGTATCTTTGCTTGGAAAAACTAAATTAGAAGTTCGTCCTAAAATGCCATTTCATGCCTTGTTCCACGAGCAAATTATTTCAGTCATAGTTTAGGTTTCTGGCGATGTTTAAATTTCAGTCCCCACATTTTGGCCTACCGAGTCAACGGACTCGGTTGACTCATAGCTAGTTACGGGCCTGCAGATGACGGTCAAATTCAGAAATGTTAACAATTTAACATAATTTTCTCACTTTGATACATAATTGCTGGTTGACCACTAGCCTGCGAGCAGGCTCTCTGGGGAAAGAGAGCCTGCAAGGATCCCTATGATGATTGCGTGCCACCCTTCAATTATGATGTCACAGGTCAATTAATAACAACCAATCAGCGCAGACCGGAATACACTACGATATTGTAAACATAAACCGATTCGTTTCAAATTCGTTAATAGTTTCGTATACAGACCGCCACTGTGGCATACTAAAAAAGTTAAAACGGCTCGAGGTTTTACAGAGTAATATATCAAGTTGTACTTTTTATTACAATCTGCATGTGTTTCTCCTGTAGGCACAGTAAGTTTAAAGTTGTATATTACCCGCTAACTAATTCAGTTATTTGGAATTGCTTCGTGCTGCAATATATAATATACACTGTATACAGTCTATATATAGTAATAATATAACTTACTGAAATTTATGGCTTTGGTGAGACATAGACATATATGATATACCATGGACATTGGACATAATTTAATAATATGTTTATAGTTCAAATTTTGCAACAAAAAGTGGAATTGCAGTAAAACATGCATGTGATAATTATTGTAAACAAAGTGACGAGTAAATTACTGTACATTTTAACGCCGCATACTTATAAATATTAAATAGTCAGTACAACATTGTAAAACAAGCTTAATACACACAGTATGCACTGAATATTATCAGAATTCCCAATATTGTTTCATAAAAGAGAAGCGATATAATGCCTTGTCCCTAGGTTTCGGTTTGCGAATTTGTGCAGTCTTTCTCAAGAATTATTCTTAGCTTAGGAGTCAGACAAGCCAAGGACACAATAAAGCATGCAAGCTTTTAGTATTCGTCTTTATATGAATACTATATTAATTTACAGTAAAAAGTCAACCAGGATCAAAATACATGACACTTTTATCTCTACATTGCCGCAATTCCGAAGCTTTGCGTTGCTCGGTTTTACAAACGGGAAGTGCAAGTTTATGGAAGCTTGTCAATCACTTCATATGAATCAGTTATCAACCAATCAGAGCACTGCGTCCAAATATTGGACGCATGCACCGAATCATCAAAGGGATCCTTGCAGGCTCTCTTTCCCCAGAGAGCCTGCTCGCAGGCTAGTTGACCACCTACTGCAGGTAGTTCTTAGAGACCTCACTTGGGGGGGGGGGACAAAATTGCCGACTGGTGGGGCTAGTAAGAGGGCTGGGAGGACATGTCCCCCGAGTCTATATATTAAAAGAGTTTAACGCTTTTTTATTGCTTGAAACGTTTCTAGGATGTCTGTGTTACGTAAGCAGCTTGAACACTACAAGTCCATAATCACAAGCAGAGTTACTTCGGACCAACCCGTCATAACTTACCAGGACAATATGCAAATTATGAGGACATCGCTAAGACATCTCAGGCTGTCAAAATTGCATAAGGAAAAGCTTAAGCAAGAGAAAGTATGGGACTTCACTGTTCGTGGTTGGCGAGCTGTTAATACTAGTGGTATTGAACAACATTTTCAGAATCCAAAAACAGCTCTTGAACCACAGGGTAAAGTGTCCGACATGAAGTATAAAGATACTAAACTTGGTAAGTATTTCTTGACCTGATTAACCCATTGAGTCGCTTTGCGCCCTGATGCGCCCTACTTTATATTTTACTCTGTCTAACGCCATACGATTTTAATCGTCAAGGGGAGAGCGAGGGTTAACTGGCCTATCTGCCCATGCGTGAGGGGCCTGTCCCGGTTTTGCGGGATGCGCCTAAATTCAAGTGGGATTCGGGATTTTAAGAGAAATATTGGTCGGGAAGCGGGATTTTATTCCATCGCGGGAAGTGGGATTGATAAAAATACCATGGCGATATGCGGGAAAGTAATCCACGATTAGTGGGATAAATCAACAATGTTGATTATGTGCTCGAAATTTACTGTTTTCAAGGATTACATGCATGATTGCGGCTTTCATAAGAGTCGCAATTTAGAATCATTTACTATTTCAAAACTTTGTTGTATTGTATTCTAGTGTATTCAAATTGTATTTTATGTCGTGAACAAGTTGAATACCTTGAACAGCTAGTGTCATAATACGTTGAACAGTGTTAGAAAAAAAGTCGGGAGCGGGAAATTTGGATGAGGTATGGCGGGATAACGGGATTTGAAGTGAAAATCGGTCGGGATGGCGGGATTTTAGAACCCGGTACAGGCCCCTCACGTCATGTCTAGTTCCAGTGTGAAGCTCTTGCTTTTTTGCTACTACGCACTGTACCGTTTCGAGCACATAGCCAAAAAGGGAGAAGTGTAGAATAACCCCTTGATTTGGTGATTTTTCTGTAATGAATGGCAACGTATATGGAGACGAATGTAAACTGTGTTGTTTTGAATGATAATTTTTTTTTCACCGTAGTTTGAGGATATATTGATCATTCTTTGTGTAAGTATATTAATTGTGTAATTTAATTGCAACAATTTCTGTTTCAGAGAATAATCCTGAACACAAGCAACTGTTAGATGAATTCAGTGAACGCAATCTCCTTCGTAAGATGCATTTGGCATTCAATTTGGTTGTAAATACCAGCGATGAACTACAGCAAATGGATTCTTCCGAGATGAAAAGTGTCGCAGAAAGTGCTGTTAGTGCGGATGGTGATAAATTTGTCATTGAAGTACCGGAATTGAAACAAGAGTTTCCAGGGCTTGCAAGTGAAAAATCGCAAGTCTATCCCCTTCCGTTGTCCTTTGAGAATCAATGCACAACTATGGGAGCAGCAAACAATCTATCACTTTTTAGTGAAGAGTTCAACTTTCCTTGCCAACCCACAGAAAGATATATTCCTATGAGAAAGAGAAGTTCCGATTTTAATTTGGACGCAGCTTATGAAAGATATGCCTTTCTTAAATCATTAGGTAAGCACAAGGAAAAACAAGACCGTTATGAAAACATATTAAGGAAAAAAAATGACGAGTCCAGTGACAATGTGCAGTTGCCTGACAATACCATTATTGGAGTTTTAGATAGTGATAGTGACAGCGAAAATTCTTCAGACTGAGGTTAAATTCAATCTGGATTTTGATATTTTTTGAAGCACATTGTATCTTAACAGATGCTTCTAAATTGATGACTTGTATTTTTTAGTGTATTTAACATTATATTCAGATAATTTCTCACATATTTATATAAACTTTCTAATGTATAAGTGTAGAGGTTCATGTATCATTTATGAGGGGTCATTTGTATAAAGGCTGGATAGCGTAAATTAAATTAAATCAGGTTGAAAAGATCTATAGGGCTATCCCGCTGGATAATTGTAACGGGCCTTCATACAACCGGCCCACGTTTTGTCCTTGTTATATACTTCAAAAACTCAATAATTTATGAGGAAAACACAAAGAAAAATCATAAGAGTGTCGTATCTTTATATGTGATAGAGATTTCCCTTGATTTACATAAACTTTAACTTTGATTTTCTCGACTTCACACAACAAATTACTTCGCCAATGAATTTACTATATCGATCGTTTTTGAAGCAATTTAAAACATTCGCATACGTGTTCTATCAGACCTAAAGATACTCGGCCTCGCCTCGTGTCTTTGTATCTGATAAAACACTGCTGCTCATTTTTTAAATAGTACTTTAGTAAATCGTAATTAATCTTAAATGAAAAAAAATTCAGGTGCATAGTCAGGATTGCATCGTACTGTACTTTGAGTTATAGAGCAAGAAAAAATATTGTATTATAATCTTATACAGTCAGAATTTTGTCTTTAGTTCGCAGCTGTATACTTTACGTGTTAACTGGAACGTTTAGTTTGCATTATCGCGCATATTGGAAACATTCTGATAGATGTGCGGATTGGGCTGAATTTTATACCGTTAGGATCACAATATTGATTATAATCTATCGCATATGGCAGACCCGCAAAAGAGATTTAAGCGATACTCGCATAAGAGGCTATACGCAAAGTATGCGTTTACCGAATATATATGAGCCTCGGACAAAATCATTAATATCGCGGTATATATAGGTTTTTCATAATAAACTTGGGTGGCTTGTGTATTGGAAGTGTAAAGGTGATTTTGTCTATGACAATTTAATATGCTAGTGATTATATATATTAGGCTTATTAGCAGAAAGCCTCCTGGCAAAGATCTGAAATGTGAGAAATTCGCCGCACCTGGGCCGATAAGTTCTCGAATTATAGGTAACTCGTCACACAACTGAACTCCGATCAAGCATTGAGCGTGCAAATTTTTTCACGGTATTTACGTTTCAAAATGTTACTTTTTCTTGTTAATTACGTTACGTTTTGGGCGTGTCAATGTACATTTTTTAATTAAATATGTCAATGTACGCATTTAAGAAAAGTGTACATTACACGCCCAAAACGTGACGTAATTAACAAGAAAACGTAACGTTTTGAAGCGTAAATATCGTGGAAAAAGTTTGCTCAACGCTTGATTGCAAATGGTATTAAGTTATATACACGTTTTTTTGTACAAGTTGTACTGACGTGTTATTTTGTTTCGGCTAACTGCAAATTATGAAGTGTATTCAGTAACAGGTGTTGCGTTACTTAAACATAACACACGCGGTTAATTCATTCATTGTTCTAAACTTGCACGGTGCTTAATCATGAGCAATCTTGCAAATGCTGATAAGGCAGAGTTAGAGTGTGCTTCATGGGTTACTTTAATAGCGAACATTGGTTTACCATTGGTCAACGAAGCTCTAGATTCGCGAATAAATCGACTATTTATAAAGCTACAAGAGTTATCTTCAAGCACATTAACAAACGCAGCTTTAGTAACGAGATTGGAAGAGAAACAGGAAGAGTGGCAACCTGCAAAAGATCAATACGAGAGAACAGTTTTGCATCTAGCAGCACTGAACGGAAATACTAAGCTTTGTCGTTGCCTTGTTCTAGCAGGAGCCCATGTGAATGCAAAAGATGGTATTCATCAAACCCCTTTAACTCTTTCACTCCATAAAAACCACATAAACACTTCCAAGTTCCTGGTCGAGATCGGTTCTAACGTTTCGGAAGATTTTTTCAAAGAAACTGCCTCTCCACTGGAAATTGCAAAATTAAAGAAAATTGATATAATCGTAAGCATGATTGCAGGGAGACAATTATACGAGAAGAATGTCACCGATTTTCTGGCGCTGGAGTTTCTTCAAATGTTTGATCAACAGCAACGCCAATCACAATCAGAAAGATACGAAAGTATGGACATCCCTGACGACTCATCCTCTACTAGTACCTCTAACTACGCTCGGATTTTAAACATTAACGTAGGAGACCAGAAAAATACGGTTACGATTCAGGGTTGTGCAAATAGATGCCCAGATCAGTACGGCTGTCATACACCCGGAGCTGGTGATTTCCATAACCGAGGTTATGTTAATGAATGTATAGCAAGATTTGCTGGTCAAGGTGGTTTCTGGCACGTGATCGAAAAAGTCCTTAGACGTCCTACTGTAAACCCTCAAACCTTCAAAAAGAAATTCAAGGAAAATAACTATAATAATAATGAGGAGGCACTTGCGGACTATGAAGATGGCATTTCAATTGCGATGTTAAAAGCTTTTCAGGCATCATCTTCTTTTCCTACACAAGCAGAACTTGATGATTGTTATCAAGTTAACAAGTCGCACAACCTAATTCTCTTGGAAAAGTTTCGTGTTTGGTTAAACATAATCCGAAGTGATAAAATGGCTGATTATCATACCAAGCTTGCGAATGATATTTTGCCGATTCGCAGATGGTACAAAGAATCAATAAGGAATGGCAATGGAAAGGCACTCGAGGCAATTTGGATGATTTGTCCTTCAATTTACGCACAAGCGGGAAAGTTTAATTACAGAGATGAAAGTTTTTCACACATCGTCAACTTTTCATGCAAATGGCCACTTGCATACCGATTGATGTACCGACAAAACAGAACGGTAAATGTCGAAGGAAGAGTTGGAACGCAGCTGGCGGGAGATGAATGGGTAGAGGAACACCTGGTTCGTCCTGTGAAAACCTACGCGAAGGCGCAAACATCTTTTTCTGTACTTGAAATGATGTCTTGCTCTTCAAATATCTTGGAGATGAATAAGAAACTGTATACAAACAAGGATGCGTTTGACATACACCGGACTAGGAAACATCGAACACCGGATTCTTTTTACGACCAGTTGATGGTAGCCCGGTTTGCTTTGCAAGAAGATTGGTTTGAAGAAATGGACAGAACAAAAGTCGTGAAGTACCCTTGGGGAGATAAAAAGGTAAAGGAAGGTGAAGCTGTAGCAGAAAAATATATAGATCCTCTTATCAAAGGGGATAAAAAGGCAGGAAAAGAGTTTCCGTCATTCATGTACAGAAAGTATCCCAATGAGGTAGATAGTTGAAATTCGAAACCACGTATTTACAAATTCTGGAGTGTTTTTGTAAAGTATATTCTATTTTTACTCTGCTGCAGTATTCAGATTGCTCATAGCCAACCAAACAATACCTGCTATCACAGGAAAAAATTATAAATTTCCATTAATGGATTTTTGAATGTAAGAACTGAACTCTTACCATTATTGGTTATTACAGATTTTCCATATGATAAATTAGTAAAAAAACACGATGTTTAATATTTCCCAGAAAAATACGAGTTCAGTTTTTACATTGATAGTATACATGGTAAATATTTTAAACAAAAACCCATCAATACAATTTTTTTCCCTGTGTATGCAGGGCAGGCTACAGATAGATTATAAAAATTGATTGTATTGCTTGGATTTTCAAAGAAATCAAAATTCAAACTGTAAATAGATAGATATTAGAAAACCATTGAAAAGCACTTTCCACTTGTATCCCATCACGCATACAAAGAAAGTTATGCTTGCTCAATACAATCAAAATATTTCTTCTGCACAGTGTTAGATTTGTAAGCCTGGATCTTCATGATATGCACACAAGGTCCAGGCTTATACATCAAAGCTTTGCAATCACCATGCAAACTTTCAAGGAACTATACACTCAAAAGATAAGCCTCTTTATTATGATCATTATTTTTAAGTACTAGATAAAACATGAGCAGCCGATCTGTATCTGGTATACAAACTTGAGCCGAAGGCGAGAGTTTGTATATCAGATACAGATTGGATGCGAATGTTTTATCGTAGTTAAAAAATGACTCATCTTATGAGCTCATTGGCAAAGTAATTTTAAAAATAAACATTGTCTAAGCTGAGAATATCAAAGCTGAAGTTTATGTAAATCAGGACAAATCTTTATCCGATTTACAAACATTGATTAAACATTCATTTCTTTTGTATTTTCCTCGTGAATTATTAATGAATTTAATAACCATGCATAACAGATTGCTGTAATAATATAATATGTAACTCAGGTGCAGTAGTCATCAATAACATATTAACCCATCAAGTTGCATTGCGCCCTGATTTATTATTTTGCTCTGTACGTATAACGCCAGATGATTTACTAATCAAGGGGAGAGCGCTTGCACTTAATGGGTTAACTGACCATCTGCCCATGTGTATAGTTAACCAATGAGTTGCATACTTGCGCCCTGATCAATGCATGTACCCTACTTTATTATTTTGATCTGTCTATACTAATGCCAGACGATTTTACTTGTCAAGGGGAGAGAGCTGGTGCTTAATTGGTTAAACAAACAGTATAACAAGCCATTTTATCTGCCATTTCAAACTTTAAACTAATGATAAATTAAAATGAGGTTTAACATAAATAAATCTTGGGGCTAATCTGGACGTTTTTCAAAATAAGTCGTTTTCAAGATGGACAACAGTTCAAGTGCTGAAATAGAGATATTTTTAGAGAAACAAACCTTTCCGATGTGGTTGAGATATTCAAAAGTCGGTGGTTTTACCCTTTAGAACACGCTTTTATTGTGTCACACACAATATTTTTTTATCGCATATGACTAAATGTTTCAATATCCTGAAATTGTTAATAACTCCTACCCTTCCCACAGGTATTTTGACTCAAAAAGTATGCCCTTGTGTGGGGAATTTGACAAAAAAAATTACAAAATGTAAAATGCCTGTGGGTTTGCCTGTCCTCCGGG